GAAGTACTTGAGACTTGTTCTGAAGTCCTTGTTTTTCATACTTCCAGTGTGGGAAGTTCACTTCCATCCCTCCGACCCTGATCATTTATTTACATGTTCTGAAGATGGATCCCTTTGGCACTGGGATACTTCCACAAACGTATCTGAAAAACCATCTTTTCTTCATCAAGGTAAGGATGTTTGAAGTCCATCTGCACTGAATTTGTGAATTGGTAACATAATTACAGTCAGTATTCTCACATGACCTAATTAATAACATAGTCCCAATACAGAAAATTAAAAGCAGGTTTCTTTTCTTAGAAAGCAAGTCCTGATAGGCACTTGAGGAAAACTACGTATGGCAAGCAGTTGTGCAGTTTTTCGTGGTCTGGTCTGGGTTTTTTTAATCTGCTACCCTCTGACCAATGCGTGAAGGGGCACATCTATGATTTCAAAGATGGACTGTGTTCACTTAAAAATCATCTGTCTGTAGAAAAGAAACAGAGGCAGCCTGACTGACAATATTGAATCTCTGAGAGAGTTAGAATACAAAAGTAATTGATAGGTTAATGAGATAATAGAATTATGAATTTACAATTCAGGGTAATAATTGGAACTTACAATAAAGAAACTGGATCCTTTTGCATGGTGGCAGGATTTTAAAGTTATGATACTGACTTTTAATTTAAGCATTTATTTTCACATCCTAATCATAAAGACTGCTAGGTGCTTGCTACTTTAGACTGCAAATAGTGGGGAAACTTTCAGATGTTACCTGCTGCCTTTGGTCTCAAAGTTGTCATTCAGAGTTAAGTTTTATCTATGGAAATGATAGGATTACTGATTTGAGTTGGACTGTGCATGTTTTCAACTATATGAAGTATAAATCCATTAGCATCACTTCTGACACCTGCTAATCTTATGCTGAATGAGTTCTTAGAGTGTAAGACTTCAGTTTGAATGTAAAATGTTATGTGGAAAAAATTCAAAGTCAAATATAGATACATTGCTTGCTGCAGAGTAAGTAGAGAAGAGGAGCAGTAGGGAATAACTGTTATTGAAGCAAAGCTGAACACCCCAAATAGAGCAAGATGCTCCTTAAATAGACTTTTGTTCTTGTGTCCTTGCTTTGGTATCTGGCTGGAGAAACTTGCAGGTACTTACACTCACTGTCTGTTCAGTGAGATGAGTTAATAGCTGTTATGATACATTTGTCTTAACTGAGGGTAGAGCTGGTAGGAAATATTTGTAATTATTTCAAGTACTTGATTTTTTAAGCTATTTTTTCCTTAATTTACCAAAGAAATGACATCTCAACTAATCTGAAAACTGACTTAATTGTAAAATTATGTTTCCATTATGTCTTACCCATATCTACTGTGTTTCTCCAAATTCTGAGAATATATAAACAGAGTTGAAACTTAATTCCTTGTCTTCCCTCTTTCCTTCTTCCAGGAGGAAGAAGCACTGCCTATCTTTCCCACAGTACCATTAACCAGTCTGTAGTAAGTGCCTGGCTAAGCAATGATCCGACCAAAGACCGCATGGAAATCACCAACCTGATTCCAAATCAGACTTTGTCTGTGAATAGTTTAGACGTTCTAGGACCATGCCTGGTGTACGGTACTGACGCGGAGGCGATTTATGTGAACAGACAACTTTTTGCTTGAAGTGACTGCAGTATCCCTTGGGAGTATCGACCAGCTTGAACTACGGAGAAATGTCAGGTTCATTCTTAATGCTACTCGTTAGTCTGTTATTGGCATGTGTGGGAGAGGCCTCGGCTTGGTCCTGGTGCTCTGGAAGAAGTGAGGTACTTCACATTCTGACAGCTGTCACTTGATGCTCCATGAGGGGTGACTGAGCAAGCTTACATGCCATTTCTTCCCTGCTGCCTGCTTGGTTTTGACAAGCAGGAAAGGAGTCACTAAGGGCAAAATCTTTGCTGTAAAGTGATGTCCATAATGCACATGCACATAGAAATAGAAGAGAAGGTAAACCCTGGATTTTTATTTTTCCCTGTAAAGGTATTTTTCAAGTATTATTTCTAAAGCAAAACTGTGGGATTCGTTGAAATTCTTTTTATGTCACCTGAGAGAGATTGTTTTTTTTTTAAGCTCAGTTTTTTTATATATATATAGGGGAACATAACTTTTAATGTTAGTCCATGAGAGTTGGAAGAAAAACTGTTAAAAGCTATGAAATGTGAAAGGTTCTATAGGAATTGAAGCATTCTAGCAACATTATTTGGAATTATTTACAGCTTCATCATGGATGCTGCATGTTAAAACTTGATAATGCACCAGTAAATCTCCCAGAAGAAAAGTGGGGTTTATAATTAAGAAGTCATAAATTGACAGATGTGTTGGCTGTGTTTTCAGGTGTAAGAATAAGACTTTCTAAACTTGAGACATAGTCTTGGTTAAAAATTCACATCTGGTTTATTGAAATCTTTGAGAAGTTAAATTTTATTATTAGCATTGTACCTGCTTTTTGTTATAAAGAACCCTTTCTCTTTTTAATAAAATGTTTTGCACAAAAACTGTGGTCTTATTTACTAAAATAATTCGAATAGATGTGCTTGCAGGAATTGATTTGGATTGAGCCTGGGTATTGAATGTGAAGGCTGGAGGAACCTCTGTATTTGGGCAGGAGCAGGGGGGCTGTGCCGTGCGTGCGGCTGCCGCTCAGGGCTGGCGGGGCGCTGCCGGGAGCCGCCGGGGCGGGCGGGAGCCGCTCCGCTCCATCCGGGAGCGGCAGGAGCCGCGCGAGGCAGGCCGGGATCTGCCCATATCCGGGCGGCTCCGCGGCGGGGACACTGACAAAATGGCGGCGCCGAACTGAGCGGCCCGGGGCGGCGGCGGGCGCTGGCGGAGGGACCGAGCGGGCGCTGCCGGCATCGCCGAGGGGCGGAGGAAGGGCGGAAGGAAGGGAAGGGCCGCGGCCGGTCGGCGCCGCGCGGGCGGGGCCGAGCTCCGAGCGCCCGGGGCGCTGCCGCCTCCTCGCCGCAGGTAGAGTCCGCCGTGCGGGGGCCGGAGGGGGTCGGGCCGGTAACGGGCCCGCTCCGGCTCGGCCCGGCGTCCTGGGCCCTGTGCGGGACGCAGCCGTGGCGGGAGCGACCTCGGGTCACGGTCTGGGGCCGGCGGGGCGGCAGAAGCACAGGTGTCCCAGCGGGGCACGTTCGGGATACTTCTCCCGGCGGTGAAACCCTCCTGGCCTGCGTGGTCCTTGGGAGGCCGCGTCCTGCTGTCCTGCAGGAATCGGTGCCGGCCTGAGCCAGCGCAGCGGGGCTTTGGTGCTCAGAGGCTGCCCTGCTGTTGTTAGCCGTGAAGATCGCTCCGAGGTGCCCCTGAACTAGCTCCTGCTGCTCCTGGGAATACTTGTGTGCGTGGAAGAGCTGTGTCCTGCTAGAGGAGATAGCAAAGCGTAAGAATGGAAATAAACCGAGTGAATGCACTGTGTTCCTAGTGTTCAGCTGGCCTCTGGTTCTTTCCAGCTCTAGCTTCTCTGACCGTATGTAGTTGTGCTTATGTGCTAATTTCAGGGTCTAGTTTTCTCGTCATCCTATGAAAACTTTTAGCATTAGAAATGCATCCTTTGGGAAATTGCTGTTGCAGCTCAATGACTTGTTACCTAAAAGAAGAGCTTCCTTTAGTTGGTCTGAGCCAAGTCCCTACAAACTTAATTTTACGACTTGCAAAGTCTCTGTTACTTTCTTTATCCCTTGGAGTGAAGCATTGTGATTATGTATAAAATAAGCTGTTAGAATAGGTACAGGAGGGAGGGTACATAGATACATTAATATGTGATGTTCAGTACTCAGTTGGAAATACGAGCATTGAAAATATTTTTCTAAGGAATGTTAAAAGTTGGATTATAAAGCTGTGTATTTTTTCCCTCAGAAAATCATGTGAGTCATTGACAGTTGCTTGTTGCCATTGAGAGCATCACATACTCGTTTGGGTTGGAAGGACCTTAGAAATCATCTGGTTCCAACCCCTTGCCGCTAGACCAGGTTGCTCCAAGCCTCATCCAGCCTGGCCTTGAACACTTCTGAGTTTTCATTCAAGCACTTATTTATATAATCTTTTATAATTTATATAATTTTTATTATTATAATGTAAAAAAAAAAAAACAAGGCGGGGTTTTTTTCCCCTTATGGTTTGACCTGTAGAAGAAAATACTGTATTCCCTATTTTGATAAGAAATGAAAGATTTTTTTTCCAACTCCTTTAGGGAAGAGAATTTAATCGGGAAAAACAGCTGCATTAACAAACAGATCATTTCAGGACACAGAACTACAAGAGGGAATAGACATCAGTTCCCTTGGATACAGTTCGTGTTTGGTAGTTAGAAGCACAAAGTTGAGATGCATTTCTTACTCAGCAGTCAACACTCTCTTCCTTTAAAATGTGTGCCAATGTCTATAATATCTGTGAATTTTGAGGTTCATCTATAAAGCAGGGTAACCCATAGTAATTCCTGCTTTCTGGAGGACTAATTTAATTTGTTTTCTGAGAATTAAGGCTTAGTTTCACACGTATGTGCAGGTACCCATCAGTGCTGCCAAAAAGAACAGCCCACCAAAAAGTTCCTTAGCTTGATAGATTCTGTGTGGCCTTAAAAACAGTTATGCTTTCTGTGATGAGTGGTGGGAGATAAGTGGGCTGGCTGGTTTACACTCCTAAACCTAAGCTGCTGCTAAGAATTTAAGTTAGAGTGCAGCTTTATTTTCCGAGACTGCTCCTGATTTATGATTTTAGCGTCCTGTTAATTTAACTTTGATTTCTCTTAGAGGGGTTAGATTTGTCTATCTCAGCTACCCAAGGTGTGACCATAAAGTGAATACTGAAATACCAGATGAAATTTGCAAAATATGTAGGTGCAAACCCCCTGTTTTTTCCTGAATTATGGCCTTTGGAATTTGTTAAAAGCTTTTGTATGGGTATTTTGTCAAGTTCTTACTTCATTTTCTTTGGAAAAAGTATTTTCAATGTGGTCTTAAATACAGCATGTTTGGAAAATTATTTTGAAAGTGGCCAAAATTAAATTACATTTTAATTGCTCTCATGCTGTACTTTCTGCTGATTTCTGGATTTCTTAATACTTCAAGCAAAATTTCACTGTTAATTATTAAAATTCACTCTTAATGCCTGATGATCTCTTCCTTATTCAGTGAGCACTGAAGAATTACGTGCTATCAGACTGTACTAAAAAACATAACTACACAACTACACTCATTTAAGGTTTCAAAACTATCACAGTACAAAGAAAGTTTGTGGATGCAGTTATACCCCTTAAGATTTAGAAAGTTTCATAGGAGAAATTCTGTTATTTCTGAAATGTTTCTTCAAGTAGAATGGGATTAAGTGGGTCTCCCTTGTGTTTCTTTTTGCAGTCCTCATTTATGTAGTACTTCCCAGCTTTCAAGTTTTATTCATATATGGGTAGCATGAGTATTTAATTCATATAATTTGCATGTGTTTCAGAGGGTTCTTTTTCCTATTAACTTGTCATATTCTTCCTCAATTGCTGAATCACTAATTGGTTTGTGACAGTGCAAGTATTATAAAAATGAAATTTGAATGAAGAAAGAGTGATGTTTTTGTAGACTGTGTAAAATTTAGGTTCTTGTTTAATTTATGTCTAGTGTGAGAAACACTTAGCAGCACAGTAGTAAAGGAACAGTGTGAGTTGAGATTGAACATTTTTGTTGCCTGTGAAGAAAAGATAACTCTGAAACATTTGGTTTATCTTGCACTGTCTTAGTAACTGATCTTCCTCTGTGAAGCAGTAGAGATTGAGAAAGTTTTATTTCATGATACTCTAAAGAGGCAAATGCTCTGCAATTTCCTCAGTGTTTCACTGTGGTTGCTTTATCCTTTGCCATGGCAGTTGCAGTAATAATTAGTGCCCAGCCTGGACACAGAGATTTGAGTTCTCTACAGACACGGGGCTCTTTCCCTGATGAGTCAGCGCCTTCAAAATGCAAACGTTTTTTATTTGGCTTTTGGCAGAAAATTCTGTTTCCCTTACCAAATGTCATAGCTATGCTCTCAGGGAATTTGATGTTGAGTTGTTAAACAATTTTACAGTTACAAAAAAAAGCTGATTAAATTTTCTTTATTTCTCTTCCTGCTCTCATTTTCCCTTATGCAAAATAAATTTTAAAATTGCTTAATTATTGATGAAGACTGGTTCAAGGAGGCTTGAGCTAAGAGACTGTGAAAGCCTCAGAATCTAAACCCTTAAACAGATTCAAGTGGCAGATGGTACAAGAAATCATAAAGTTGCATGTGATGAGCTAGGCAAGTGTTTACTTTAAACACATGTGACTGCTAGAGAATGGATAAAATCACTATAATTACATGCTCTTACTGGTGTACTTCTCACTTCCATCTTTTTCTGGAGCTGGATGTCAGAATCCTTGAACAGCAGGGTTATTTGACCCGTATCCTGGCTGACTGGGTAGTGGAGTTGGCTGTTCTGCCTATAAAGGTGTTGATGAGGAGAACATAGGTGACAAATGGACATAGGAGGGAGGGGAGGCAAAGAAGCAATACTGGGTTAGTACACAGCAGTTGTTCATATCTGCTCTTTAAAGCTTTGTCCACCACACAGAGGAGTCCCTCTTTACTGTGTCCACATCCTTTGCAGTTCAGGACTGTTTAGACTTGAGGTGCCTGAAACATTCATTGTTAACAGACAGTTTAAAACCCAACATGGTTTGTAAATTAGGTTGAGTAAAGACTGCCTGGAGAATTTGCTTAGCATGCTTTTAATATCTGTGAAGGCAGTGCTGCATGAGAACATTTCACCACCAGTGAATTTTTTTACTGCTCTGTTAAATGTGATTTGTTTTGTTTGTTTTGTTAACAGAATAGCAGTTTTGGGTTGTGACAAACCCCAGCACTACAGGAACCAAGGTTTCACAGTGAAGAGCCACTGCTTTCACGAGTTCTGACATCAGCCAGTCTTCCTTGAATTCTGGTGTGTGCGAGTCCTTGGTGGAGGTTGCATATATACATGTTTTCATGAAGAGAAGTGAGAAGCCAGAAGGTTACAGACAAATGAGGCCTAAAACTTTTCCTGCCAGTAATTATACTGGCAGCAGCCAGCAGATGCTACAGGAAATACGAGAGAGCCTCAGGAATTTGCCTAAACCCTCAGATGCTGCTAAAGCTGATCACAGCATGGGCAAAATGTTACCTGAAGATCCTAGGCAAGGCCGAAATCCCCCCAAATTTGTAACATATCACAAGGTTTTGCAGGAGATAAGAAACTCACTTCTGCCTTTTGCAAATGAAGCGACCTCAGCTGTCAAAGGAACATCAGAAGTTAATCGACAAATGCTGCAAGACTTGCAAGCTGCTGGTTTTGATGAGGTGAAGTATTTTATTTTGAAGATTTGGTTTTCTGCTAGCTATAAACTATTAATGCATGTTGGAGGGGATGTTGGTCAGGGAATGTTAGAACAGCATGATAAGCAAAAAGCTTCAAAATTTGCTAGGTTTCTGATTAGGACATGAAACTGGTAATAGTGGGAGATGTAGAAGAGGACGAGAAGGATTTAGAGAGACTTAGCTTTGTTTTTTTTTAAGCATCTTGTCTGGATTGTTCTTATGTGGTAGGTTGTTTTAATTATTTATTTAATTTTAGGCAGACAGGACTGGACTCTCTAGAAGATGCATTTTGCCTCTGATACACAAAGTAATTTTGGATTGTGCTCAGTTAAAATAGGTTAATAAAATACGGCCATTCTAAATTGAAAGGCAATACCAAATATTTTGGAAATTAATCTGAAATGTGGTTTTCAGAAAGGAAAAATGAATACACTTACGGCTCCTGTGTTTTCACTGGGACCTGCACATCAAAGTAAATCACACTTGTTTTCTTTGTAAACCTGGGTACAAGAGCATGTTTTAAAAAGAGCTAGCAAACCATTCATCTTTCCAAAGGAAAAAGGGACAGTATCACAACAGGGATTAATTTCACAGGCGTGCACTGCTTGCAGTAGTGACCAGCTCATGAGTTCTGCTGTCTGTGATGCTTTGATATTTACAGAGAGATTTACCTCTCCAAAACTACCAACTGACTTTTCCTAAACAGCATCCCAGTGTCAAGTGCTGATAGTGGCTTTTCATGTTCCTTTCACTTGATCAAATACACAATCCATACTGTGTGTCAGGGAGAGTGGAAGGATTTTATAATGATAAATGATTTTTGTAATAATTTGCTCCAGCTCTGTGGTTCATTGCTGAGGTTGAGGAAGCTTTTTTGTCTTTGTTGTGTGGGATTCTGGGCCAAGGAGGAATGTGCATTTGCTTTTTCGAAGTAGATCAGCTCTTAGCTCCATTTTTACAGATTGAACCTGCAGCCGGTTTTGCAAACTGAAGATTGTGGTATGTGGCTGGACAGTAAACTAGAAAGGTATCTTAAGTTGGACTTTTTGTTGGATCCTTTGTTGGATCTTGAAGCCTTTTGCTCCTACCCTTTGTTCTTGGATACAACTGCAAATTCCCATGACACTTGTGATTATATGGGGCTTTTTTCAGGCACAGTGCCAGCATTAGCCCTTTCTGCCATTTGTTAACCTACAGTTGTGTTGCCACAATAGCCCATATGGCACTGATCCACGTACATCACTAGGAACAGATACAGCTGAAGTAGGAAAGCATTTTTCTTGGTTGAGAAGTTTCAAATTTTTTTGTTTTTTTTTTCCAAATGAAATATTGCACACATTCTGGTTATTTCCCCCCATCTCTCAGGTAGTATTAAGGGTTAAAGTGGAACAGATAGATACCAATAAGTATCAGGTGTGTATAGACAGTTTTGTATATATATGTATACACATATACATGTATATGTGTAATAATCAGGGTAGAATGGTGTTCATTGTATTCAGGGCTTTTTTATCCCAAATAGCTTACAGAAAATCTCTTCTGCTTATGATGATTCACGTTCAATCCTCGTATGTTCTGGGTATAGTGATACTCTTTAAGACATCGAATACCTTGTATCACATAGGTGACCAAATTTTGGAGCTGAAAATGTTGTATCTGCTTTTTCTAATACCAGCTGGTCCATAAAGATTGTGGCAACTTTATTGTACAGGTTTTTTTATTATAAAATCCTTTTTTAAGGATTGTATGACCAAGCTGTTGTATGAATAGCAAAACTACATGATTTACATCAAACTACAGTGCTTCAACAAGTTAACTTCTCTTCTGAACATCAAGATTGCAGTACTATTTTGGATGATCTTTTCTGGAGAAGGCATTTGAAAATTAGTTTTAAAACAATACTTTGTAAAATTACTTTGGTAGAATTAGTGGAGGATATTTGTATACATAACCATGTTTTTGGGGTTTTTTTGTGATTTTCTTGTAAATCATTTTCCGTATATCATTTTATCTTTAGGATATGGTTATACAAGCTCTTAGACAAACTAACAACCGTAGTATTGAAGCTGCCATTGAATTTATAAGTAAAATGAGCTACCAAGATCCTCGTCGGGAACAGATGGTTGCAGCAGCAGCAAGACCTGTAAACGCAGGTATGAAACCACCAGGTAGGTGTATCCATGGTGACTCAGTAACTCACTGAGCGTATTCTTATAAGTGAGAAATAGAACATAGTAAATTTTGCCTTCATGTGCTCGCAGTAGAACAGAGATTCTGAGATACAGGTTTTTGCGTTTAAAAACAGCATTTAACTTATCTGATGTAATCCTTCTGAAAGATAGGTCTATTTGACTTGAGTTTCTTAAGCATTGTTTTATAACTGCATGGTTTTATTACTGTGTGTAAACATTTTTTACAAGGAATGGCATTAGGATCTCATTTTGGTAATTTCTATTATCTTGCTGATGTGGTGCCTGTATTTTGTTCTGTGTCAGACACCACTTAGAAATAAGCACTGAGCGTTGAATTATTTTAAGTTTTTGTCTCTGTTCACACACACTCCCACACAGCAGCATTCTGTGCATGTTTTTTTGTGTCTATATGTGTCTATGTGTGTATTTTTATATCATGCCACTACAATATTTGTATTTTAGGATGTTATGTTTCAGGATCATTCTCTGCTTAATTTCCTGATTGGTTCCAACTTTTGTCTGCATAGTTTTTAAGGCAGGCTTCATGTTCTTAGAGATGTTAGAGGATGGACTGTGACTAGCAGTCAGAATTTTGCCACTTGCTAATGTTGCTTTCTTAACAGATGCTAGCACATTTGTAATATAACTTGATGCCTTTTTAGTAGCATACACCTAAAAAATCTTTAAAATGCAGCAGAAATACTGAACTTTTATTTGAATAAAGTTGGGTGCTGTGCTGCTAGTGCTGGAGTTAGATTTTAAATTAACAGTATAGGTAGGAGGAAAAATTAGGAGTTGCAAAGAACAGCGTTATTTTCCTTTAGTCTGTTAAGCAGGATTAATTGGTACTTGTATGAAGTTCATAGGTAAATTCCACCATTTAGACATAGTTTTCATTGTTACCTGCAAAAATATAGTAATTAACACATACTTTAAGTGAGGAGAGGGTGATTTTCAGCAGTTACAGTACTGCATGTGTTTACACATATCTTAGTGTTAACGTTATAAAAACCACAGTAAGACTGCCTGCAGTCAGTTCGTTGTATATTTTGTTTATATGATGCAAAATAGCATCTGCAAAGTAAATATATTGCAGGGTTTTGTTCTGGAAGTTTTGCATTCATGCAGTTGTAATTATTGTCTCTCTATTTACAGCACTTTTACTCAAAAAGTTGCAACTTTTTAATTTAAAATACTTAGTAAAATTCTGCATGATGGGAATATAAGTCTTAGTGATCTGTGTGCGTATAAGGATGTGAGCCTTGATTTTACAGCATTCAGTTAAATTTTAGTTGAAGAACACTAAGTGTTTTGCAAGTGTTAACTGGAAGGGATAGCAACATAACATATTTTTCCATGCTATTACTTTTTTTGCATTTATGCTGAAATTCTGAGAGTTTCTTGTACATGTGATTAAAAATACGTTGTGTGACTAATAATTTTCCATGCTACCACTTTTTTTAGTTAAATTTTGCATTTTTACTGAAGCAAAATGCATTTTCAGAAAAGTGATTTCTGAAAAATCACCTTCTGGTATTACAGTTTTATAGTTTCAATGTTTGGGGTTTTTTCTCTCTTATATGTACACTGAGCATGTTAGCATGCTGTGTATTACTAGAAATAGTTTTCATATGAAGTACAGTGGATTATATTGTGTCAGAGAATTCAAGTCCTGTTTCTGTAGTAGTTAACACAGAAGAACAAAGTATTTAGAGCAGTAAATAGGAATAATTTCCAATAATATAAATGCTGTGTTTTCTTCTTGTGGAAGCAGGGGCTGTCCAACAGTCAGTTAACCGCAAGCAGAGCTGGAAGGGTTCTAAGGAGTCCTTGGTTCCTCAGCGGCATGGCCCTTCCCTGGCAGAGGGTGTGGTTTATCGCTCAGAAAGTCCCAGCTCCCAGCCTGATGTAGGAAGGCCATTATCTGGATCTGGCATTGCAGCATTTGCTCAGGCTCATCCTGGCAATGGACAAAGAGTGAATCCCCCACCTCTACCGCAGATAAGGAGTGTCACTCCTCCTCCTCCACCTCCTCGGGGGCAGACACCCCCTCCAAGGGGAACTACTCCTCCACCTCCTTCCTGGGAGCCAAATTCTCAAACAAAGCGGTACTCTGGAAACATGGAATATGTGATCTCCCGTATTTCTCCAGTGCCACCAGGAGCATGGCAGGATGGGTATCCACCTCCACCTATGAATCCTCCTCCTATGAATTCATCCGCACAGGGTCAGAGAGGCATGAGTGCTGTCCCCATTGGCAGGCAACCGATAATCATGCAGAGTTCTGCCAACAGCAAATTTAGTTTTCCCTCAGGAAGAGCTGGAATGCAAAATGGCAATTGTCAGGCAGAATTCATAGTCCACCAGAATGTGGTGTCTGGAAATTCGGTGAGTCGCCAGCCACCCCCATACCCAATGAATCCAGCTAACAGGCAGAGTCCCACAGCACTACAGATGCAGGCAGGAGGATCTGCTCCTCCTTCAGCATACACCAATGGGAATCTTCCTCAGGCAATAATGGTGCCAAACAGGAATAGTCACAATCTGGAACTTTACAACACAAATGTAGCTGGAATACCTGCATCCTGGTCACAGCCTTCCCCTGTGCAGCCGCAGTCATCGCCGGGCAGTGGGCATGACATGCCTACATGGCAACCCAGTGTTCCCGTGCGGTCAAACTCCTTCAACAACCATCATGGCAGCAGGCAGAGTCACTCTGGCAGCTCCCAGCCATCAGCCACCACAGTGACAGCCATAACGCCAGCTCCCATTCAGCAGCCAGTGAAAAGCATGCGAGTGTTGAAACCAGAGCTGCAGACTGCCTTGGCACCCACTCACCCTTCCTGGATGCCGCAGCCCGTGCAAACTGTTCAGACCATTCCCTTCTCCGACAGTCCCTCTACCAATATAGCAGTTATGTCTCCTGTTGCAGAGGCTCCAAATTACCAGGGTCCCCCACCACCATACCCTAAACACTTGTTACATCAGAATCCTTCTGTCAATATGTATGAGGCAGGACCCAAGCTCAACAAGGAGGAGCCACCTCCTTTATCCAGGGAGGATGAGAATGAAAAGAATTATGAATGTGTTGATTCAACAGATAAAGAAAAGAAACAAATTACAACCTCACCTGTTCCTGTTAGAAAAAACAAGAAAGATGAAGAAAGAAGAGAATCTCGCATTCAAAGTTATTCCCCTCAAGCCTTTAAATTCTTCATGGAGCAGCATGTGGAGAATATACTCAAGTCACACCAGCAGCGTTTGCATCGGAAAAAGCAACTAGAGAATGAAATGATGCGGGTAAACGCTTCCTTCTTCCTAAATCTATGACTAAACTGTTACTGTATTACTTTTATGAGATAGTCTTAATTGTAGAATTAAATAGTACAGATAAGTAGAACATTTAAAATTCTGGTATTGAAGTCTATTTTTAATCTTTGTATTTGAGATGTGGCAGGTTTCTTCCTTGTCCTGTTTACATATTTAATTTTCTTCTTAGATACTGATTTTTAAGTAAGTTTTTTGCATGCCTGAAAGTAATTTGTATGGCCTACATACAGTAAGGCGGCAGAAGCAAAATATTGTTGCATGAACTGAGATGTAGCTACATGGCTCATAGCTTTTTGTTATGGGTTCTATTTAATCCTGTTTTTTGAGTTATAGGCAACATTTTAATGATTTAAAAAAATATTTCTATTTCTTTTTATAAGTATTGAAGGTACAAGGAAATTGGGGACAAGTGGAGGCTGGCTAGTGCACTTATACGGACACTCAAACAGTGATATTTTTTACATTCTGCAGTTTTTTACCAGTAGGGATAGTTTTTAAAGTTCAAATTAAAAAACAAAACCAAAATATTTAAAGGTTAGTTGTTTTTTTTTTTAATGAAAGAGACAGTGTCTTTTTTCAAATTATTTTGTAATCTGCACTATAAATGTATCTGTTTAATCAAGAGCAATCGAAGGGCATCATTATAAAACAAATACATGTGAAATCAATTTTTTTTGTACCTTCACGGAGTCAGTGGTGTATTTCTAGTATTTCAGTGTTCTGTTAAAATACATGAAAAGGGTAAAAACTGGAGCTGACAAGCGTATGTCATTTCACAAGAGAAAATACTGAGAAGTAGTGAAACTAGGATTTGCAGAAAAGTGAAATTGAGATGTGTCACATATATATTTCTTAGTAATTGTAGTTGAAAGTTTGACATAAGTATGATGTTCCTTTTTATTTATTCAATGAGAGTATGTATTTGGCTTATGCTGCTTTCTTGACATGCTGTTTCTTAAATCTGTGTTTTCTTACTCTGAAAATTCTTACTGTAAGCTGTAGTCTTTTATAAGTGTTTGCTTAATCACAAATATGTAAATGTTAGCAAGATTTCATCCTGGAACTCTTATTAGATCTTTGTTCTTAGTCTTCTCTCTTTCCTTTTTCACTTCACTAACAGCTGATTTAAACTGTTAAGGTGTGGGAAGCTATCCTGAACTCTCTGTAGCCTCCATCCCTGTGTAGACAAGTAAGATTCTGAAGCAACAGTGTTTCTTAAGAATAGCATGATCCCTTTTTAGAGGGCTTTGCATGCAATCCTGCATCAAAATTAAGCATGAATTTATTTTGGCTATTTTTGAGTACTTAAATGTAAGATTATAATTAATGTTGATTTGCAAATTTCACTTTCCCTTCTTACTGTGTTGTGTTCTGTAGTATCTAAGAATAAGTATTACTTATATGAAAGCACTGATATAACTTTTCTTGATATTTTTCTTGTGCTTTTAAAGCACCTTAGTAGGGGTATTTTATCATATTTATTATATCAATGCTAGAGTTTTAATAGTTTATGCTAGATTTAAAGCTGGGATGTTTAATTACAGGCTGGAGGGTGGAAGATGAGTTATTGTGCAGTAGCAGAGCTCGTTTTTCGTAAGCATACAGGAGAGGAATGTCACGGCAATAAAGTATATTTTGGGTCTTCATGAGAAGGAGAAAGGGAAACATGCTCATTTTTTATTTTCAGAAAGTTTAAAGAAGATTAAGCGAGTATTGAATCCCCTTTTTTGTCCCCTTTGAATTTCGAAAGAAAAACCTCAGAATGCATCCCTATGAAAATACCTACTTTCACTGGATGCTGTATTTCTAACATTTGTGACATACTTCCATGGTGTCAGGTCTCCTAGGAGTTGAGGGTCTCAAAAATGTTTGATTTAGATGCGTGAGTTTGGCTAAGAGTTACAATAGGTGTTTTTCCTGCAAAGAGAAACTTAAGTCACTCTTTAAGGCACAGCCAGATGAGAAGGAAGCAAAATTAGAGCAAATTGTGTGATGATGGAGAGCGAGTCAGGAAACCTTTGGTATGTGATATTTTCTTGAAGTAATTGGCAGAAAAGTTGGTGCAGCTGACAGTTTGTTAACTTTTGGGAAATGCTGAAGCTGAGGAGAGTTCTAGGGAAAATGCAGCAATTCAGAGAGAAAGTTTGTAATTAACATTTGGTTTAGTGGATGACAGGGAAAAATGAAGGTGGGTTGAGGGAAGAGATGACAAATTGCAGTACTTGGGCTAGTTTTTTACTATAAAACCGAAGATACAACAGTTAGAGAGCAGGTGGAAGAAAGCAAAGCTGCAAGGGCTTTGGAGACTCTGTATGTGTTGCAGTGATTAATTATTATATCGAGTGTCACTCCTGGGGATTGTTTCTTTGCCAGCTTTGTCAGTGATAGGTGGGGCTCAGTTTGTGTCAAGTGGATCTGTACTGAGACAAACTTTAGGGTTCAGATGGACCTTAGGAAGGTAACCCACCATTGTCTCAGCTTTACCAGGTTCAGGTGTTCAGTTGCCTTATTGACATTTTTTAGTCTTAAAAACATCCTTCCTTCTGTGTTGAGGTGTGCCTTAAGCCTGTTCATTCATAGAAAACTTCAGATGTTTCTGTGTTGAAAAACACTACGCAGATATTCCAACAATAAGACAATTTTTTGATTCAAAATATATAGTTGAACCTATTTCCCATACCAGTCTTGTAACTACACCTAACCAGTCCTAACTACTGCCTATCTGATGTCTATAAAAGTTTTTGTCTGAAATTTGAGACAGCCTTCCCCATTTAAATCTCATCAAATTTGTATAACTTGTGAAATTCGTTTAGGTAGACAAGCAAATTGTATGCATTTTCCTAATTGCATCTCCTTTGGATCCATTTTTGCTATGATGCCTGTAAGAAATTTTCTGTTTTCTAACAGTATTTTCTTTACTAGGTGACATATAGTAACTCATGAAAGCATTTTTAAAATACTGAATGATATCTAATTGATTTTTTTTTTGCCTTTTTTCTCAGTCACATCTATTATATTTTGTTTCAAGTTATGTTGGAAGTCAGGCAAGGCTGAAGTAATCTATTAACATACAGACTATAACAGGCCTAGACTAGTTACTTAGTCCTGTTGATGGTCCCGACTACTGCTTTGCAGACAATATCTCAGATGTTTGAGGCTTTAAAGAGATAAAAGCTGCAAGATTTGGTATCAAGAATTGATAAGATGTGACAGTAAGAAATGGAAAACTTTTAAAATAGTGCTTGAGTACAGTTGTGATGTTTGCAGGGGTTCAGTGTGGCCATGTTTGAGTTTATGGTCAACATGTCCATGAAAAAATAAGGAAGTATGCTATAGGTTGAACTTGGAAATCATTGGTGTGGGATGGTGTTTTCAAGCCAGGTAGGCAGATAAAATAATTGAGATGGTGTGAGAAAGGTAGCATACGGTAATTTGAAAATGTTGTCATAAAACAAAAGAAGGAATGAATATCAAGCTACATGGGGATAGTGTCACAGAGAAAAAATACAAAAAATTGAAGACAGATTCTATTCACATTAAAACAAAGAAGGATTATTCTGATTCCAGGCCCTGAAATTTGCCAAGAAAAATGGCAACAAAATTGAATGGGACTCTTAAGGGATATGAAACCAGCAAAAATATACCAGGAGGGCATGCTGGTTGGAGTACAATGAGAGTGATCAATGTATTTCTTGTAGATCAGGGTTTCCACACTGTAGGTGAGGCCTGTGAGTGTTTCAGCTGCCAACACCAGAATGTTGGTGGCATTGGCTGGAATACCAGGGATATTCAGTCAAGTCAGAGATATGTACACAGATGGGAGTCAAGAAAAGATACTGTCAGGAGGAGTGAGCCTCTTCAAAAAAAAGTGCTCTGCTCAGCTGATTCCTAGGTAGAGTGGAGAGCAGCGGTGAGAGTGAGAGCGAAGTCCTGTTAGAAAGGGGTGCGTTATGTGATAAGAGGGAATATCAGATCCAGGTTTGTGGCAGAGGCACGGGCTTGGTGTAGGCGGGCAGTAGGAAGCAGTGCCAGCAGGATCTGGTTTGGGTAGCTACATGGAAGTGAGAGAGTGAGAGGGAGTGCATGCTCCCTCCTGCAGCTGAAATTCTAGAGCATGGTCAGGAAGTTCAGTGACTTCTGCTCCAGCTAGGCTGCCATTCCCATGGCAGCTCCTTAGCCCTCAGCAGGGGCTGAGGAGAAGTCTTGACTTTCTTTAACCCTGTAAAGAGAATCAGGGAGGCAGCTGATGCACTTTGTTATTCAGATAATATTATTTGCAGTGTTTTTGATCAGTAATTTGTAAATTACCTTTCTTAAGAATGTAGTAGAGCCTTTTCTAAAACCTCCTGGTGCATGGCACCTTGTGCATTTTGCTGTTGAAAACAATCACGTTTCAGTTTTTTATCACTCCTATATGTTTTCATGGAATCCTAATGTGTAAATTAAAACAAAACCAAATCCCTTTAAGTATTATTTCTTGTGCTATGTATAAGTATATGGTTTGCTTTGCCTAAGCCTAGTAATTAATTATGAGAAGATCACCAAGAATTAAGAGTACTGTTCACTCTTCAGATTTAATTCTGTTTGCTGCACAGGTTGGATTGTCACCAGAAGCCCGGGATCAAATGAGGAAAATGTTGTGCCAGAAAGAGTCAAATTACATTCGGCTAAGAAGAGCTAAAATGGACAAGTCAATGTTTGTAAAAATTAAAACCCTGGGAGTTGGTGCATTTGGAGAAGTTTGCCTAGCAAGAAAGGTGGATACTAATGCTCTATATGCAACAAAGACTCTGAGGAAAAAAGATGTCTTGCTTAGAAATCAAGTTGCTCATGTTAAAGCTGAGCGGGATATCCTTGCAGAAGCTGATAATGAATGGGTGGTTCGCCTGTACTATTCATTCCAAGATAAGGACAATTTGTACTTTGTAATGGACTACATTCCAGGAGGTGATATGATGAGTCTTCTAATTAGAATGGGTGTCTTTCCAGAAAATCTGGCACGGTTCTACACAGCAGAGCTGACGTGTGCAGTTGAGAGTGTTCATAAAATGGGCTTCATCCACAGAGATATTAAACCTGACAATATCTTGATAGACCGTGATGGTCATATCAAATTGACTGACTTCGGGCTCTGTACTGGTTTTCGATGGACCCATGACTCAAAATACTACCAGAGTGGTAAGAGAAACACAATTATTCTTTACAAGGAATTAAATTACAAATTAGTAGAAAGATGACTTTGCAGTTTCCTTTATGATAAGGTTGAAGGAGGCTTTTCAGAATCCTACTTGATTACTTAAAACAACAGCTGAAGAAAAAGTTGTGAGTGAAAGAGAAATCACAGTTTTGAGAGTGGTGAAATACAGATTATGTGATAATTTTTTTTAGCTTCCAAAAATAAAAACATACCTTCAAAACCAAGGTTTAAATTAATTTTGGCTAGTTTTTCTCAAAATATGACATATCTTAGACCAGACTGTTACACAGTCTCTGGTGAGAAGATAAAGATTTCAAATCTGATTTTATTTTTTGATTATTTACATGTTAGAGGTTTTATGTTTACGTAAGTGTAAAAACAATATACATCTTATCCACCCAATGTGGTAATGTTAAGAAAAATATGAAAAGTATCGAGATTGGTATTTTCTCATTGTAATGTCAAAATTAGTTTTAAAAAATTGTGTCCTCAGAGGTTGGTATTTTATGTCATAAACAAAAATGGACATCTCAATTTCAGTTTTAACTCTCAGGTTGCATATTGAAACTGAAACAGATTCTGTCTAGTAGCACAAAAATGTTAACAGATAAAGAAAATTTCATATTAGATAAGAACTAACGTAATCCTCAACTTTGCCACCCGTGTCACTCCATGGCAGGTGACCATGCCCGCCAGGACAGTATGGATTTCAGCAGTGAGTGGGGGGACCCGGCGAACTGCAGGTGTGGGGATCGGCTGAAGCCGCTGGAGCGCAGGGCTGCACGGCAGCACCAGCGCTGCCTGGCCCATTCCCTGGTGGGCACACCCAACTACATCGCACCAGAAGTGTTGTTACGGACAGGTAATGAATGCACCCTTGTGCTGCCGTCTCACTGCGAAGTAACTGTATTCCTGTGTCCTGCTTCGCCTTTCCCACAGTCCTGCTTTTCCCAAGGATGCGCTATTTTAACAAAAAAAATCAATAGTTGTTAATAAGAAAGTCTTAAATAAGTATTGAATAGAATTGAATTCTCATGCGAACTTTTTTGTTCTTAGAAGTTCAAGGTTAAAACTATACTACCTCATTTGAACTTTATTTCAGGTTACACACAGTTGTGTGACTGGTGGAGTGTTGGAGTAATTCTCTTTGAGATGCTAGTGGGGCAGCCTCCATTCCTGGCACAAACACCACTGGAAACACAAATGAAGGTAACTTTAAAAGTCTGGTATTAACAGTCTGAAAAAGGCTTGAAACTTACGTAGTCTTCCTAATTTGTAAGGAAACAAAGGTGATGTTTGAGAGTGCTGCCTATCCAAGCATGATACAAACTATGGAGGTTTTAAACTTTATATTACTGTGGAGGGGCACTTAATTTATAAAGGGACTTCTAGAATCACATTCATAACTTACCTGGTCGTACAGTAAACATGCCAACTAAAAATCACATCACATCTCAGCCTTTCGCTGTTTTTATCTGTTCCAGTTGTTATTTCCTCTCCCCTCTTCTCCCATTTCCTCTTCCCTCTTCCAGTATCTGTGTGCTCTTTTCCCACCTCTTGGCTTCCCTGCCTGTTTGCCTGCAGAGGATTTCCTTTGGCGATGTACCTGCAGGTGCTTAGCATGGGAAGGTGAAGGAGCAGCAGATCACTGCCTGCTCCGGGCTACTGACAGCTCAGAGCCGTTGGTCTTTTCCTTCCTGATCCTCTGCTGTTTCAGAGAAAGCATCAAGGCAGTCTTTGTATTTTTGAAAAATTGTAAATGTAGTGCAGTATTGATTTTTTTTTTTTTTAACTTGAAATCTGTTAGTCTGTACAGTACATCATATAACTCAAAACTTATCTGCCTCACCTTTTTAGGATTGTAAACCATGTACCTAATCTTAGGTTCCAGGTGCTGGTATCTTTGTTGGTTTATAGCAGGGGTCTTATATGCCAGACTCTAGTTTAGATTTGGAATGTGAATCAACTACCTGCATTTTGCCAGATTTCCAGACAAAATATTCCTTGTGTTTCTGAAAGAGCAGCTTCATGTTTTCCCCTCTACTGTGAAAAACCTTACACATCGTGAATTACTTCTTTGTGGTCATTTGTTTTGTTGTTTTAATGTATTTTTTCCTTTATGCAAAATTATAAATAACACATCTTTTTCTTTTAAGGTTATCAACTGGCAAACTGCACTTCATATTCCACCTCAGGCTAAATTGACTCCAGAGGCCTCCGACCTTATTATTAAACTCTGCCGAGGGCCAGAAGATCGTTTAGGCAAAAACGGCGCAGATGAAATAAAAGCTCATCCATTTTTCAAAACAATTGATTTTTCAAGCGATCTACGGCGACAGTCTGCTTTCTACATTCCCAAAATTGCCCATCCTACGGACACATCAAACTTTGACCCAGTTGATCCAGATAAACTGTGGAGTGATGATGATAAGGAGGGGAACAGAAATGATACCCTTAATGGGTGGTACAAAAATGGGAAACATCCTGAGCATGCTTTCTATGAGTTCACCTTCCGAAGGTTTTTTGATGACAATGGCTACCCATACAACAATCCAAAGCCCATTGAGTATGAGTATGGTAGTTCCCAAAACTCGGAACAGCAGTCAGATGATGATGATGATGATGAACAGGCAGGTAGACGAGTTCAGAGTCGTGATCTGGTTTATGTTTAGTAGAGGAATAAAGGTCAAAAATGAAGTAATCAATTTTGCAGCTATAGCTTTTGAAAAGTCTCTTCCTTTAAGAGCATTGAAAGAAGATTGTTAGAGTAAATATGTGCACACTTTTTTTATAATGCTAAAAAAACCCCATTTCTTCACTTTCCCTCTCTGTACATTTTGTTTCCCCAGAATACAGGGAAATCCTTCTCAAAAATTAATTTATTCCAGTGATGTTAATTGTTTAATTTAGAAAAGATTTGATATTAGGTAAAAAAAAAAAAAAAATCATTTGAATATTGTTACTGGTCCTCTGTACTCTAAGTACTCAAAATAGGAAATAGTGATTTTTTTTTCCCCTAAGATGGCTGATATCTATTTATACATATATTGAATAATTTTAGAGAACAAATCTCTGCTTCAGAATTTTTAATCACAGTTTTTCTATGCATTGACCAAATATAACACCTACTTTATGCTAATAAAGTTCTCTGATACATTTCTGAAGAGAAAAAGAAAGGCTGCTGTACCCTCACTTCTCACTGTATTTAGCCTTATTCACAGTGTTGGAAAAACAGCCACCTATCTGGTGAAACATTTCCAGCTGCTGTGGGCCTAGTTCTCAGCTTTGAAACAAGAAAGTGTCAGTCTTGGCTATAGTATGATTGCAAGATGATAAAACACTAGAACTAGTATTTTATTAAATAGTAATTTGATTTAATATTAGTAACACTGTAGCTTGGGAATGGTACTCTCAAAGCAGGACTGCTCACTCAGAAACAACTTGATTGTCTCCTGTCATCAGTTCTATAGATGTAAGGGGAAAAGAAACCTTAGAAACAACAGTTTCTGAAATCTAGTTCAATTTTCTGACTACAGCCAAACTGTGAAGTGGGTACAGTGCTGTTTTTGTTGGAATTTTTAGTATGAAAAATAAATTCTAGAGTAGTGTCTTTATGATAAATTTGAGATAGTAATGGAAAAAGGTTATAAATTATGACTTTTGAGACTTGTTATGGAGACCCATTTCCTTTGGCTGGAGCAGTTTTCCTCCTGGTTACACAAGCCCTGAGGAGAAGGGCTGTGCACGGGTCTGTCTAAGCTGGCAAATACAATTTCAGTGCTCTGTCTTTCACAGCCCGATTCAGAACAGAATTAGGAACAGCTGCCTTTTGCATTACTGCTTCCATAATTTGCAGCAGCAAATGCTCAGGTATCTCCTAGGGTCTCATGGTGAGAGATTCCGAGCCTGTTGAGGCTATGTGGAGTAGGGATGGGAACATCATTCTAAGCAGCTTTCTCAGACAAAACCAGGAGTTAGTGCTGAGAGGCAGAAAGAATTACATTTTTGTCTCCATCCTTTTTCCTAAAATAAACACGGTGATAAAAAAAATGCACTATTTTTAGTAAACTTAATGTCTTCTGAAACATTTCTTCTTCCTTGGAATTGAATTCCAATGGATAATCTAATAACATGCATGTAAGCATTACTGCTTTCCTAAATTATTTGTGCCATTGCACTGGCCTTGTGGCTGTCTAAACATCATGAAACTGATGTTCATAGCTGTTCTCACAGCAAACATCAGTTCCCAGTGTACTTTTCTCAACAAGCTGGTTTGTTTGCTTATGGCCATTTTTTCTCTTTCTGTGCTCTAGTCCAGTGTCTCTCTTTGTGCCAGTGCAACTGTCTCTAGTACTGTCCTAAATACTGGATCAGCAAAGAAAGTGCTTTTTGGTTGGCATTTGGAGTTTCCTTTCTTGTAAGTGTGGTCATTTGAGTGGTCCAGTTTCTAGTGTGGTCCAAAAATGATTTATATTGACATAACTGAAGAACTGCAGCAGGTTGGCAGTGAGGAAACTTCTAAACATACTTTGTCACAGAAGAAAATGTTTGTGGAAGTTCACCCCTCTACTGTGAAGTGTTAATAATGATTAGAAGATGGTTATGAGAAGTTGTTTTCTCAAACAAGTAGTTAGTTGCTTTCTATAATGAAAATGAGTTTGCAGCTTAATAAAACAATTCCTGTTCTGCCTTTCCCACAGCTGTTGAAATAGAGTAGCTTTTAAGATTAATTTCATTTAGCTTAATTATTATAAAATGGCTGCAGTGCATAACTACTCCATTTTATATATTATGTAAATTGCTTTTCATGTAAATAAACTTCAGAGATTATCCTCCTTCATAGTAAGTATCCCAGTAAAACTGGTCTACTTGTCTTGGAGAAAGTATAATATATTGCTGGTTAAAGGTAATTTAATCAAGCCTGCCTCACCATTTTGAAGTGTGCAGACAAAATAATGTCAATTCATTAAACTGACTCTTAGAATTGCCTTTTCATCTGAGTACGTATCTCCTCCGCCTGCACTATACTATGGTATATTCCTGTTTAATACTATTACTGATCTTAGGCAATTTAAAAATAATTCTAAAAAAGGATATAAAAGTGTCCTGTAAAAGCACCGTTGTTCTAAAAAGCAAAACCAATTGCTTTTATTAAAGGAAATTATTGATTCTTTTAAGGACATGCGCAAGTACTGAAATACTAAATACTCTTTTGCCTTTTTTCAACAAATACAGGAAGCGCTCACATCTTTAGAATTTGGTAGATGCTTCTGGCATTTTCTAATATCACATGTTAGAAATTGTAATGTACCTTGTTTGAATTTTGCCACCTATATGCTGCAGTATTATGTATTTCCTTGCAAAAATTGCAGTTCGTTACAGTCTAGGTTCTCCTCTGAGAAAGTTACACGTGTATGTTGTACAACTCTCCAGCATGCTCTGCCTTACCCATGTTTTGAAACTTGATGTTTCATACATAGATTCAGAGTCTGTTGAGATTCTTCATAGTTGCTGCTTAAAACATGGGTGTTTCACTGGTGACCTATAATGGGGATTGGTTTGTACAGGCAGTGGAGAAGAGAGGCTCCTAGCCAGCAGCTGTGGAATTCTGCAGTAAGTTTTAGTTCAGGTTACTTTTACTTTGTAAAGCATGAAAACAAGTTTCTCTTTTATGTGCCCTTGTATACATATTAATTGTATTTATAAAATGTTCTATAATCCTATAACTTGTACTGTAAATATTATTTGATATTCAGTGGCATTCTATCCTCGGGCAGGCCCTCTTGCTGTATCTTTTCTATCCTCAATTTGTAATAGAATCTATAGAATATATGGCTAGAAAGTCTCTTTGAGACTGATGTATCTTCCGCTGTTGCAAAAACTGTGAGTGGGAATGATTTATTTAGACTCTTTTTAATATTATTCAGCTGATAGGCAGTGCAGTGGGTGGGTTCTTAGATGATGCTGCTGTCACTGAAGATACTATTAGGCTTTTGTTTCAGATGTTGTGGGTGTTTCAGATCAGACCTTTAAATCTATTTGCTTTATTTCAGCCAAAGCAAAAAGATAATGAATTGGGTCAGTGTCATAGTAAAATGTTTGAATGCCTTAAGATGCTCATGATAAAGGCACTATTCAAGTTTACTGATTTATATATATCTATATAGATATATATAGACATATTCTGTGTGTATATGTATATACAATGTCTTTTTTGTATTATAAGACTGTCAGTTCTTTTGGATTCTCCAATTAAATACATAGACCATCCCACAATTCTGCTTAAGCGGATCATTCATTTATTCTGTGTCTAGCTAGTAAACTTGACAATCTCACATTATCTCATGGCCATAGTAAGTTATTCACTGTTTTTTTGAGTATTCTTTACTTGCCTCAATCATGACCTGGGCATCCCCTATTGCCAGGTCTCCTGCAATCCAGTTACATTTGTGCCATGTGATCTCTGAATGCCCATTGGCACATTTGAGTCTTAGGGGCTCATGGGGTGGTGGCCTGGACCATGATCTCCAAGACTCCTGATGTTCATATGAAGAGAATATGCATCTTTGCTGATTTTTCCAGTAGGTACACTGGAGCATCCATCCCCTTCGTCCAGGAGTACCAGGTATCCAGTTTGTCAGTGCCCAGCAGTCGAGCAGTGGAGGCTTCCTTGCCCCTGCTGACTGAACACACAGCATGAGTGTTTGACATGGGGGATGGGATGTGAGTGGTTGCACTGACACCTTCTTAAAAGTTATTTCAGGATAAGAGAAAGAGTTCCAGCTCTGACTGAATTATTGGCTACTAGTAGTTGGTGACATTCCTGAGTTACAGAAAATGTTCCTATTTTCTCAGAATTGGTTTCTGTAGTGTAGCACTTGATGGAATAATAAACGCCACACTGAATCTTTATAAGAAGTGAAAATCACATTCTTATTTTGACTAGTCAAACATGAAATGTAAACACTAAGTGCCCAGTTACATTTATTTTTCTGTCCTTCACATCCCTCTTCTACAAGTCCTGTTTATGCTGCAACTGCTCTACTGTTTAACAATAAAATCGCACAAGTGTAACAGCAGGAATACTATTTACTTGGTTGTCACCTCATGTTTGTAAGCTGTTCTCGAAAGTACACATATTGATGTTCAAGAGTTCAATTTGTTGGTGTTCTTTCCACGTCCTCGACTGCCTCTTTCATCAAAATAAGTAAATCTTATGAATTACTGTTACTCTTTTTATTATTTATTATGCATGCATTACGTACAATGAAGCTGTTCCTTAAAAGGACAATGTATCACAGCTTTCATCTGTATTTGTCTTTGTGAAAATCCCCTTCTTTAAGTGCACATCTCCAAGTGCTAATGCAGAAACGAATGTGTTGTTGGAGAGACTGAGTTATATCCTAATTCTACATTTGGGGAGGAGGTTATGGAAGTACGGCACCGGTTTTTATTCACTAGCCCACCTACAAATGGGAGAAAGGAAATTCCTCCAGCTCTCATCAACCAAATCATGTGATGCATCAGCGGCAGCTTTCTGTGTCTTTACAGCTGAAGTAATGTAGGATTGATTGTTTCAAATGTCAACACTCATTAAAGGGATGGACAAACTGACAGTTTAAGAATGGGTAGAAATAGAATAACGAGAGACGAGTAAGAATGGATGTGATATACTTAATTAAAGGACGTAAATGACATACTGCTGTGGGGGTTTGGAGTTCACCCTGAAGGACTATCATAAACCTCTTGCATTGTGCCCAGCCTTTAGATCCTATTTGTTGCTAAGCAGCTGAGTCTGTTTAGACAGGTGACGAGGTATTGCTCCATCAGGGACACTTAAAGGGCAGTTTTCTGGTCTGACTCTGCTGTTAAGCAGCACTCAGCACTCTCAGATGCGTTTTCTTCCCCGGAACAATACAATCTATGAAAGTTTGAAGAGGTGCAGACAACTCCCAAGCAAAGAACAGATAGACAGAAGTGGGTGCTTCGTACTAACACGGCAAAACTCACACTTGTGAGTTATAGAAAGGAAATAGCCGAAGGAAAGCCCTCGACCACCAGGGCAGGACCTCAGGTAGGGGCATGAGTAGAGGAATTTCTCCTTCGTCATCTTTGAGTGACGAAAGCACGACCCCTCTGTCGCGCAAGCATTGGTGGTTCAGTGGTAGAATT